CTGGCGGCCCCTGCAAGCAAGGAGAGAGCGGTCAGCCCTGGGCCTGAGCGCTGCCTGCGCCCTGCCTGCGCCCTGCCTGCTCCTGCACCCTCCCTGCACCCTGCCTGCGCCCTGCTCCTGCACCCGGCCTGCGCCCTGCCTGCACCTCGCTCCTGCGCCCTGCCTGCGCCCTGCTGCTGCAACCTGCGCCCTCTTTGCACCCTGCTCCTGCGCCCTGCCTGTGCCCTGCCCACACCCTGCCTGCAACCTGCCTACGCCCTGCTCCTGCGCCCTGCTCCTGCCCCCTGCTGCTGCAACCTGTGCCCTGCCTGCACCCTGCCCACAACCTGCCTGCGCCCTGCCCGCACCCTGCCCCTGCACCCTGCCCACACCCTGCTCCTGCAACCGGCCTGCACCCTGCGCCCTCCTTGCACCCTGGTCCTGCACCCTGCCCGTGCCCTGCCCACACCCTGCCTGCGCCCTGCTGCTGCAGCCTGCACCCTCCTTGCACCCTGCTCCTGCACCCTGCCTGCGCCCTGCCCACACCCTGCCTGCGCCCTGCTCCTGCACCCTGCTGCTGCAGCCTGCACCCTCTCCACGCCCTGTCCCCTCCCTGCCTGCACCCTGCCTGCACCCTGCCCTCTTTGCGCCCTGCCCACGCCCTGCTCCTGCAGCTTGCACCCCCTCCCTGTCCCCCCCAGCCCTGCCCGCACCCTGCCCGTGCCCTACTTGCAGCCCACCCACACCCTGCCTGCACCTTGCCTGTGCCCTGCTCCTGCACCCTGCTCCTGCCTGCCGCCCACTGCTGCCTGCAACCTGCCCGCACCCAGCCGCAGCCCGGGAGCCTGGAGGGGACCCAGCCTGGGCCCCCCGGGGCGGAGGAGCCGGGGGGGGCGGTACAGGGTGAACCCTGGGTGCAAGGCTGGGTGCAAGGCTGCTGGGCCGGCCTAACGAGGCAGCGGTAACGAGCCCCGTGGCCCTGGCAGCTGCTTCCCCACTGCATCCCCATTGCTTCCCCGCTGCATCCCAGTTGCATCCCCATTGCTTCCTCGCTGCATCCCAGTTGCTTCCCCACTGCTTCCCCACTGCATTCCCACTGCATCCCCACTGCTTCCCCATTGCTTCCCCACTGCTTCCCAGTTGCATCCCCATTGCTTCCTCGCTGCATCCCAGTTGCTTCCCCACTGCTTCCCCACTGCATTCCCACTGCATCCCCACTGCTTCCCCATTGCTTCCCCACTGCTTCCCAGTTGCATCCCCATTGCTTCCTCGCTGCATCCCAGTTGCTTCCCCATTGCTTCCCCACTGCTTCCCAGTTGCATCCCCATTGCTTCCTCGCTGCATCCCAGTTGCTTCCCCACTGCTTCCCCACTGCATTCCCACTGCATCCCCACTGCTTCCCCATTGCTTCCCCACTGCTTCCCAGTTGCATCCCCATTGCTTCCTCGCTGCATCCCAGTTGCTTCCCCACTGCTTCCCCACTGCATTCCCACTGCATCCCCACTGCTTCCCCATTGCTTCCCCACTGCTTCCCATCCCCACTGCACCCTCACTGCATCCCTGCTGTAATCCCATTGCATCCCCACTGCATCCCCACTGCATCCCCACTGCACCCTCACTGCATCGTCATTGCATCCCCGCCGCATCCCCCTGCACCTGCGCCACATCCCCACTGCACCCCAGCTGCATCCCCAGTCGCATCCCAGTCGCATCCCCAGTTGCATCCCAGTCGCATCCCCACCGGCCTCGCCGCACGCACGCGGCCGAGCTGGCAGCAAACCCTTCCCCGCCGCTAACCCCAAACCAACCTCCCCGGAGCCGGGGCCCTTCCCCGCTCGCCGCGCCGCCGCGGGACACGGCGCAACCGCCACCCCGGGCCCCGAGGCCCCGCGGCCTCGCCGCCGTGGGCGCTTTTTAAATTTACCTTTTCCTGCCAGGAGACTGTGACACAGGCTTTTAAAAATAGCATGTGCTGAGGCGAGGCGTTCGGGGTGGTGTTGCTAAGGGAGAAATTCAATTCAAATCTAGGGCTTCGCCTTCCCATGCTAACTACTACGGCGCGCTCCCAAAATTAGGGCAGGCAGGGGCTGCCTGCGTGCTGCCTGCCTGCCTGCTTTCACCTCTCGGGAAGAAAAACCCCTTCTCCATCCCGAATCGGCGCGGGGAGGGCTGCTGGGAGCAGCGTCCTCCTCGAAATGACCTGATTTGGAAGGGAGAGTTGGGGCGTACCTAGTCGCCGTTGCGGAGGTCGCCGCCGCGGGTGCTGTTGGCGCACTCGGCGTCCTTGGTTTTCCGATCGATCTCGCCCCCTTTGATCTTCTTGCGGGTCATATGGCCGCGGAAACTCGCCTGGATCTTGGCGGCCGCCGCGTTGGCGTCGGGATCGTCCAAGGGGATGTCCAGGATGTCCTCGTCCAGCTTCGTGCAGGCTCCCTCCTGCCGGCGGCAACGGGGGGGTTACGGCCGGCGGCACCCCAAAAAGGGCAGCGCCCCGCCCCTTTCCTCCCTTAAATCAGGGCCTAATTGAGCCCC